CTAAGTGAAGTAAGCCAAGCACAAAAGGACAAGTACAATATGAGTCCTCTGAGGTAAGCTTAAAAAAAATGCCAAAGGGGCATAGGGGAAAAACTACTAAATACAAACACTCCAGGGGTGAGGTCCAGGTCCTGTGGCAGGTGCCAGACCAAATCAAGGGGTACATATGGTAGCCAACTAAAAAGGAAAGGGAAAAAAAGAAAAAAAAAAAAGAGAAATGTGTAGTGGGGGAACAGAGCACTACCCCACCGAAGGGGAGGGTATTACTTATTTCTCCACAGTGAAAAAGGGACCAGACTTAAAGCCGGTGCTCAAAGATGTGAATGCCACATATCAGCATAAAGCAGGGAACCCTTAGAGAGGTCCTAGGGCCTGACCCCAATCCCAACTACGTGCACAACCGCCCCTTCCCCCAGAAAAATTTAGTTCAGAGGACAGCTCAGAAGCTACAGCTCAGGGAGAGGGACATGTCTGATCTGAGCACAAGGGAGCAAATGAAGGGGGAGGGAGAGATAGTGGAGCACATCCTGGCCCAACCAGCCTTGAGGATGATATCCCTGCTCAGAGCAGTCAATGCACAGAGAGGGCCATATGACCGGCCCCACCATGAGACAGGACATCCCTCACAGACCCACAGACTTACAGGAGGCAACACTAGAGACACAGGGTCGGAATTACACCCAATCTAACCCCACCACACAGAGGCACAACACTAAGGGCGTGCCACAGAAGAGCAAGGGAAGCAGAGCAAGGAAGTCCCGAGGGAGTACCAAAAATAGACTTTGAAGCCAGGGCGTGGCAACTCATCAGACTTGGCCAGAAAACACCCCTACAGGTCAACAAACAGACCTTGATCTATTTACAGGCTTTTCTTTTTCTTGTTATTGTCATTGTTGTTTTCTTTTGTTGCTTTGTTTTGATCTTTCTTGTTTTTCTGTGCATATTATTATCTCTGCAGGCCTATCTACATAAGAGAGGCTGGATAAACAATCTTGAGGAGAAAACAACAATGGGACTGATGGTTCCAGGGGGACATGGGAGAGGGGGAGATAGGGAAGAAGTGGTGTTAACCAACCCAGGGACAAGGGAACAACAAGTTATCCAAAATCAGTGGCAAGAGAGGGTGTAAGAGGCCTGGTAGGGATTGATCAAGGGCAATGTAACCGAGAGGAATTACTGAGACCGAAATGACGGCCGAGCATGAAAGTGAGATGAAGAAAGTCAAAGGAAATCGAGGAAAGAACTAGGAGGCAAAGGGCATTTATACAGGTCTAAATACAGGCATGTACAGATGTGAACATATTTATATATGAAGATGGGGAAATAGACCTAAGTGCATAGATTTATATGTTAGGTATTAAGGTAGCAGATGGACATTAGCCTCCACTCAAGTACTCCCTCAATGGGAGAACACTCTGTTCTATTAAATTGGCATTCGATAATGCTCACCTTCCCGACACGATCGCTGTAGACAAATGGGTGCATAAGCAAAGGTGTTGAAGAAAGCTGGTGGTGCCCAGCTATCAAAAGATATAGCATCTGTGGTCTTCAAGGCTTGAAGGTAAACAAGCAGCCATCTAGCTGAGCAGCAACAAAGCCAACATGGAAGAAGCAAACCAGCCTGTGTGATCATGAGGTGACCAAAGGTTCAGGTATCAGGCATCAAAGACCAAAAATCATATCATTTTGAGTAAGGGGGAGTGCAGATTCAGGACCCAAAGCTCATCTGTAGGCAACTGGACATCCCATTACAGAAAGGTCGAGGGGCGGAGACGAGTCCCTTAGGGTGCAGTGTAGCAACGATGAAGCATACAACATTCTTATAGTTCTTAAGTGCTTCCTCCCCCCGACTATGATGACCCCAATTCTACCTTACAAATCCAGCTAGACCAGAGCATGTATACTGGTACAGATAAGAACTGGAAACACAGGGAATCCAGGACGGGTGATCCCTTCAGGACCAGTGGTGAGAGTAGCGATACCCGGAGAGTGAAGCTAGAAAGGAGGAACTGATTACAAGGATCTACATATAACCTCTTCCCTGGGGGATGGACAACAGAAAAGTGGGTGAAGGGAGACGTCAAACCGTGTAAGACATGACAAAATAATAATAATTTATAAATTATCAAGGGTTCATGAGGGGGAAGAAAGCGGGGAGGGAGGGGAAAATGAGCTGATACCAAGGGCTCAAATAGAAAGGAAATGTTTTGAGAATGATGAGGGCAACAAACGTACAAAAGTGTTGGATACACAATGGAGGGATGGATGGATTGTGAGAAGAGTTGTATGAGCCTCCAATAAAATGATTTAAAAAAAAGATGCAAAAAATACTAGTGTAGGAGAGGAAAAAAGGGGGGAGACTCCATATATATAAAATATATGAATATATGTGTATTTGTTTATATATGTATATGTAAATGCTATAAAGAAGCAGATGGACTTTGAGCCTCTACTTTCCTCAGTACGAGAACGGTTTGTTCTACGAATGTGGCATTGTATGAGACCCGCCTCCTTGACATAATCACTGAAGACAGAATGGGTGCACAAGAAAATGTGGTGAAGAAAGCTGATGTTGTCCGGCTATCAAAAGATACAACACCTGGGGTCTTAAAGGCTTGAAGAGAAACAAGCGGCCATCTAGCTGAGAAGCAACAAAACCCACATGGAAGAAGCACACCAGCCTGTGTGATCAGGAGGTGTTGATGGGAAGAGATATCAGAAGTTCAACAAACACGCATCCAAATCGATAGGAAGGGCAGTGGATGTAGTGGAGACCCAAACTCCACCAGCAAGACAATTGGACAGTCCCCCTCATTAGTGTCTCACATTAAGGAGGAAAAATCCAGGGTGCGGTATGGCACTGATGAACCACAGAACCATCCTCTAGATATGGAAATTTCCTCTCCTTGTTATTAAGGTCTTTATGTGATATACTGCATTAACCATGTTAGATGGGCATGTTCATTTCTATACTTACGATCGCTCTGTACGTGACAAGACGACCTCTCAGAGACAGTGACAGGAGTCATGGTTTCCTGAGGCTATGGGAAGGAAGGAGATGGGGGGAGAGGGGAGTTAATAGCAGGCATGATTGTACAGTCCTATGCTGCAGCGGGATTGAGTAACAGAACTGTATGGGAAGGGAAATATTGGAATGAGTCAGATGTGTCAATAAAAATAGTATGTACATATATTATTTTTCTGTGAAACGGGAGACTGCCTGGACAGTTTCTTTACGAGTCTGGGAGAAAAGGTTGCCATTTAAAAGAATGTATACGGAAGGACAGGTGACTATGGAGTCAGAAGGAAAGCTACTCCTTGGTTTTCATCCACAAGTAGAAAATCAGGTTTAACTTCTCTTTCCACGGTGAATCTTCTCTGGTAACACTTGTTTTAGGTGGTCACCTTACCGAATTCCGAAAGATCCTCCTGCTCCCCATCCCAAAGCATTTTCCTTTGACTTTCAGATTTAGAGAGGAATGATCACTCCATTTCCCTCAAATGTGGTGTCAGCCGAGGGCACGCCCCCAGAGGCTACATCCCGTCAGACTGGGATTGTCCATGTCTCCAGTTGAGTGGAATTTATGTTCTTGCTGGAGACGCCTCCCTTAGCCTCAGAGCCCTCTGGGGGGTCCTCACTCAACACCAATTCTATCATATGTCATATGCAGAAAATATTCCAAGAGGATAGAAATGATGCTTAAAGAACTGCCACTTGATGGTACTATTAGAACTCAAAATGTAGTCGTCTGCCCTACAGCTTGGTCTTTAACTGGGATTTTTTTTCTTCTTCAAACTGGGATTTTCAGAAGCCAAGAGAGGTCAACCCACTTCCTGTTCCAAGAACCAGGGCAATTAAGCACATTTTCCCTTCCACACCAGCGCTGTCACCTTCTCTGGCTTTCTGTAAGCTCTGGAAAATGGGGCAGCCACCAAGGGCTGAGCTTTGGCTTCAGGTGCAACCTGGCTGCCCACTTCCTCCTTACCCACCTCGGCAGCTCCCAGTGCCCTCAGACTGGGCCACCCTTGCCCCAGGACTCATGAAGGACCTTGTGTTTAACGGTGGCGGGGACCTTGCCTTCCTCTACTCCCACTTGTGCACCAGAAATAACATGGCGCAAGCAAGGGCCTCAAAACAGTTGCCACAGGATGGCAAGATAGCACCAGAAACGACAGTGTACTCTTCCCGGGAACCTCACCCTCTGCCTCCTATTTGGGGGAGAAAAAAAGTCAACCAGTGTCTACTCCCCCTAAAGCCGGGTCTGGTGGTAAAGTGGGACCATGGGTTGGGCGGCAATGCAATCCAGAAAGTCTGCAACTGGAAAGCAGCAGCTACTCACCAGCAGAAAGACAGAGCTTTCTACTCCCTTAGAGAGCCACCTCTTGGAAGCGAACAGAGGCTGTTGTGCGCGGTGCTGTCAGTCACTGCACATCCCCATGGACTGGCTACCAGTGAGCTCCAGGGAAGGCCTGGCTCCACCTTCTCCAGTTTGAGGGCTCTAGCTCCCAGAATCCCTGCCACATCTTGGAAGCACTTGCCTCTACACAGGGGATCTGACTTTTCCTTCCTTCCTCACAAGAAGGAATTACCTAACTCCTTCTCACACATTCCATCCACACACCTCACTGACATAAGTGGAGCCCAACTGGTAGTGATCCCACAGGAGAGAAAAGAACTGCTCCTTAGCACTGGGGAGGCTGAAAATCTTTAAGGA